ACTCAATAAATTACGAAATATTACATGACTGAAAGTTTTAAATAAATATTATAACCGAATTGACGCCATAAATTTTCATAAACTACATTAATCTACCCGTAAACTTTCGAAATTCTTGTATTTTCGTAAGTTCTATATAATATTACACCATAATGTTACGAAGTACTACACCGTAAACTTTCGCATAGTTTACATTCCATAATATTACGTAGTACTACATCGTAATGTTACAGAATATTATGAATATATAATTTACATAATCTTATGGCGACCTTGTAAGTTTTCGTAATATTACAGAATGTAAGTTTACGCAATATTACGCCCTATTAAATTTACTGATGTATGTAGCTATTAAAGAGACAGAATGCCCGCTTGAACTTTGGGTTAGTGCAAGATACTTCTATTTTTAGAGTACTTGTATACGCAACTAGATCAACATCACTCTATGATTCTTCTACGTTACTGAAGTCATGAGCCTTTTCCATAGAATCAAATTTACCATGATATTCCTTGATTTGTAGTTCTGAAAAATCAGCCTTAAGAGCATGAACAATCCCTTATATATCCTTTCTAAGATAGCAAATAAGTAATGCACTTGTTTGATTATCAAAAGACAATGAAGACGTATGCTTGGCCCAGTCCCAAAGTTCAGTTAACACAGCTTCTTTATTGAGAGTCAAGCGGAATGCCTTACCTTTCTGAGGCTGGTAAGTATTATAAATAATGGAGAAAGGTATATCCTTGCGAAGGGTCTTAATCCATTCAATGTTGAGGTCCATTAGATCATTATCCATAACAATAATGCGCCTAGCATCTTGGATTAATTTATATAATTTTCTATTGATTGCCTCACTAAGTAACTTTGTGCTTGAGCAATTATAGTTACTATTTCATCAAGCCAAAAATCATATTGACTCAGTGAACATTTGCATTTTTTATTACATTTGCATTTATTAACAATACAGTGTAAACTTTCTATTTGACATACTACCCTCTTGTGATCAGGTAAATTTATATTACCATTGATATCGCAATATGACTTAAGATTAAATTTTATAATAACAGCATTTGAGTAAGAATGACGCATAAATAATACTAGCAAATTTACAACATCAGAAATAGTAAGATGTTTGAGAATGTATGTTTTTCCAGTTTTCTAAGGTGACCCTACATAAATATCACCTTCATTGGATAATGATCTTACATATCTCTCCTTATATATTTCTGTAGCCATAAGGGTTTCATTATACTTGACCCATGTTGGCATTTCTATGAAGGCTTTAGGGAAACCTAGACCTTTTACTTTGCGAGAGACTTGTGAAGAATTTTTATTTTTTTGCTGAATTTTTTTCGCAATAGATGGGTCGCATTCAAAAACTTTTCTACACTCATCACTATTTTGCTAAAAGCATTTTACGATGAACCTTCCACTGCTAGCACATACACGACTAAACTACTGCTGATCCTTATCATGTATACGTTTGCAGTGAACATTCTAGTGAAGCTTTTCGGTTAAAATATATGAAGTTTTCTTTCGTCTCTTCCTTTTTTTCAATAGTCCAATCCCTAAGATATTTAGAATACTTTTGCAAAACTAGATCTGCGCATTTTTGTAATATATCCTGCCTCACAGATATTCTTAGCAGATCATTATTTTTTTCTGTACTAAGTATTCGAGGTCTCACTTCAAGTTCTAAGCTAGTAAGTGGTTGAACCCTAGCATGATCAAGTTCATTCCATCTGTTATCTAGTAAGAATTGAAGAATACACTTTACACGACTTTTTTTTGCTGAACTAATAAGGCGAAGATTAAAATTATGACTAGGTAATCCTCTATCAATGTATTTGCCGAATTTTTTACCAGTCAAACTATATACTAATTTAGTGAATGCTTTGAGTTCATGATGATCAATAAGAAGAGCTGATATGTATAAAATATGGTAGCTATACTTGCTAGGATCTGATGATGTAGTAATTATTAACCCTTTGAGAATATCTTCCCAATCACAGTCAAGAATTCAATACAGAGCTCTTATAAAAGAGCAACAGATTCGGATGAATACTTCTTGTCTCTTGATATCAGCTATTTCCATATCCCCTTTCGATGCATCGATGTCAATTACAGCTTTTAAAGGTTTTTGACTGTTAATATATTCATGAATCACAGGTAAACTATATACTTCAGAAATATTGTCTGCAATGGAAAACTTTGGAGCTTGATCGTCTTGATCGATTTTGATAACCAATTTATTTATCACTTCATCCCAGTCATAAGCATTATATAAAATAGAGCCTTTTTCATTCAAAAAGAGAAATGAATAAATTGAAAGATATTCTAATGACCCTTTTTCATCTAACATATCTTTAGATAGTGATAGGAAAATTTCTCAAATGGCATTTAGCAAGTCCTTAGAAAAAAAATTATCATTAAACTTTTCCTGCCTTAAAGTATATGCCACATTAATAGGTGAGTCCTATCTCTCTTGTACAAATGGAGTCTTGATAATGCTGGTTGAGACGCAGGTAGCTTCTTCATTATCTGACTCATAATTA